ATGTTCCATTGCTTGGGATTAGAGGAGGCATTACCTACAACCCTTGTCTAGCTTTGAGACAATTTGGATATGCATGGAGGGACGGCCCTCACGACATGTTAATTCTTGACCTAGTTTTTGACTTCAACAACGATGCGCAAGAACTTCGCCAAAGATTCATCAGAGCTTGGAGGATGCCTAACAAGGTAGACAGCAAGACACTGGGGCACAAGAACTCCATCCCTCTTGAGCCTTATCTCAAGTGGGTACGAACCCGAGCCCAGAGTCTAATGATGTCTTATCCTCATGTTCTCCCTGTGATTAAAGATCCCGTTAAGGAAGGAGAGGTTCCCTACACCATCCTATATCCTGACATGCCTACATCGTGGGAGGAGATGCAGAAGAGTTGGATCTAACTCAAGGAGGAACGGAACTCTTTTGAAGCCAGCTTCTACGCCAGTGAGAAGAAGGTTCTAGAGCTTTCCCACCGACTCCATGAGGAAGAGACCCTCAACACCTACATCGCACCAAAGAGGATGCGCAACGTCTTTTTACCTTGAGAAGTTTTTTTGTAATATTTGGCCCATGGGGCATTTATGTACTGACAAATTTCTTCTTATTAATATGACGTGCGTTCTTTTTGTTTGCAACAATTTTGAATTTTCTAAATCCTTGAATGCATTGCATAAACAAACATATCATTCATCATACGCATAAGCAGGTCTCCACACCAGGTTTCCTTATCTTTCTGCTGTTTATTTCAGTAGGATGGATCTTGAACAGACGGTCAAGGACTTGCAGTCTCAAAACTCACAGTTTCAACATCTCCTGATGACCTTGGCAAAGGGTCAGGAGGATCTAAAGGCCCTGCTTGGGAACAAAGAGCAAGTGAAAAATAAGAAGAAAAGAATCGGGGTGGCTACCCTAGGAAGAAGGTTTGAGGGAGAAGCCAGAAGAGTTCTTGAATTTCCCCCTACATCTGAAGAGGGAACCAGTAAAAGGAATGCGGTTGCGGTACCTTCTGAATCTGAAGCTGAAGAAGGAGAGGTCGAAGAAGACGAAGACTACTCTGAGCAACAATACCCGCCTGCCGATGATAAGTACAAAGGTTTGGAAGACAGGTTGGCAGCTATGGAGCTGCAGAGAGTTCCCGGCTTAGATTTCGAAGATTTGGGATTAGTTGCTGGAATTATGATCCCCCCGAAGTTCAAAGTGCCAGTTTTTGCAAGATATGACGGGCTGTCCTGCCCGAAGATGCATCTCAGATCATATGTAAGGAGGATCCAACCTTACACTGCAGACAAGAACCTGTGGATCCATTTCTTCCAAGATAGCCTTTCAGGGGCTCAACTCAAGTGGTTCTATCAGCTGGATGGAGCCAGTATCCGAAACTGGGAGGACTTGGCTACTGTGTTTTATAAACAGTATCAGTACAATTCTGAACTCGCTCCCACGCGTACCCAACTCCAGGGTATGTCACTGGGGACGGGTGAAGGATTCAAGGAGTATGCGCAAAAGTGGAGAGACCTGGCTGGTAGGGTGCAGCCACCGCTGACTGACCGTGAACTCGTGGACATGTTCTTAGGGACCCTGTCTGGTCCGTTCTTCAACCATCTGATTGGTAATTCTTCTGCTGGGTTCACAGACCTGATCTTAACCGGTGAAAGGATATAAGCTGGTATCAAGTCGGGGAAGATACAGAAAGGTGCCTCCGCGAGTACTGAAAAGAAGCCCTTCAAGAAGGAAGCTAGTGCTGTTTATGGTCCAAGGAGATAAATTAAACCGGAACGCCGCCAAGCTGTCAACGCGTTGGTAATTTCAAAGCCTGTTGCTGCTCCTCAACAATACAACCAACCAAGGGGTGAGAGGCCCAAAAGACAGTACACTCGACTCAGCATGACCCTGTCTCAGATTTTGCTGCAACTACTGTCAACCAATATGGTAACTGTCAAAGAAGCTCCGAAGGTAGTGAACACAGCTTCTCCAAAGTACAACCCCAACGCCCGTTGCGCTTATCACTCTAATAGCCCGGGGAATACTACGGACGATTGCTGGGCTCTGAGGAATAAGTTTCAGGACCTTATTGATGCTAAAGAAATACAGTTTGAGGCGTCCGAAAGGCCCAATGTTGTGACTGCTCCCATGCCCCAGCATGGAGTGAATGCTGTTGAAGAAGACCGATATGTAGCCTCCGTGGAAGAGATTGTTACTCCGTTGTTGACTGTTAAAAGGAACCTGTTGCTAGCCGGTTTATTTCCGGGATGTAGCAAAGGTTGCCTTCTTTGTGATGTTTCACCTGCTGGTTGTCCCCTGCTGAAGTCAGGCATCCAAAGCCTGATGGATAGCAAAGAAATCTTGTTCGAGAAGATTGTTGTTCCTGCTGTCCCTGCTGAAGAAGTGTCCATTTTTACTATTCTCAACAAACCTCCTAAGGCTCCTTCAAAAAAGCCTGTTAAAATCATGTCCACTCAGAAGATTGCTCCTATCATCATCACTGTTCCGGGGCCTCTCCCTTATACATCCGACAAAGCTGTCCCATGGCACTATGGGGCAGATGTTTATGTTCTTGGAGTAAAGCAAGAGTTTGATACAAGTACCGGTGTCAGTAACATCACCGGGCCAGCCAAAATTACTCGCAGTGGTAGGCTATTCTCACCAGATATTGTGCCACCAGCTATTTGTAAACCTCTTATCATCACACCTGCAAGTGTGCCTGCTTCCTTTCAAGTTCCTGTTTCTACCCCTGCTGCCGAGTCATCTGACGCTCGGGTCAAAGGGATTGCTACTGATTTGCCTGCCCTGACGGAGGCACCAAAGACAACCACTGTTGAAGCTTCCCAACAAGAAATGGAAGAGATTCTCAAAATCATTAAGAAAAGTGATTTCAACGTAGTTGAGCAGTTGGGGCACACCCCATCAAAAATTTCTATGCTATCACTGTTGTTGTGTTCAGAGGCCCATGCCAAGGCCCTGATTTCCTTCCTAAAGACGGCTCATGTGCCACAAGAAACATCTGCTGATCAATTTACCGATTGTGTGGCCAACTTGACTGCTGATAATGGGTTGGGCTTCTCTGACGTCGATCTGACTGCCAAAGGAAAGAACCATAACGACGCCCTGCATGTCTCCATTGAATGCAGGGGCACTACTCTTACCCATGTGCTGGTAGACACCGGTTCTTCATTTAATGTATTGCCCAATGTAATACCCCAAATTTGTCCTACCCTTTTACTTCCTGTCTAGCTTACGCACTTTTGCATTTTTTCTCACATTTGGTCATCTAACACATCATGCATCATTAATAAATAAATTGGCATAAGATCATGGATTTCGGGGAATAAGGGTTGGTGTATGGCTTTTTCTCTAACACTGTGGACTTCTTTTAGTGATACAATTTTTGGGTCTTATCAAATACTTGCCGCTTCAATTGTGAGTCATCCCAAGGCTGTCTCGAAAGGCTGCAAGCTTAAGCAGTGAGGAACATCGTCTTATACTTATCACCTCCACATGAATGATGATTTATTTCCATGATCATGGTTGAAGATTTTGATATATCCATGGCCATTAAGATCTTATTCAAGGATGTTTCAATGTATCATACAAAAAGGTTATCATATGAGAAAATCGTATCTTTTACGGGTTAGTATTTCAAATGGTCCTTTCTTCATCAAATGAGGTTTAGCTATTCCTTGAACCTCAAGGAATATGTTCACGAGCTCTAGGCAAGAGAAGAAGATTCAACGGGATACTATTTGCCAAATTGGAATTTGTACACTTTATGAGGCAAAGCTCTTCGTCGGGTCTATTCGCTTACTTGTGATATAATATGCTTTGGGGACTTCATTTCAAAATACATTAAAATCAAAATCTTAAGCTTCTTCAATTATGGTTTTGAAGTGAGGAGTAAGAAAGATATGCAAGGCTCGTTCGTTTGAGGGTGTTCAGGCATGTCTTCATTCAAAAGCAAAGAAACTCGACGTTACAAGTTCGTCCTTGGAAAAGAATCTTATTAAATTCATATCACAACCATGGAGTTATATGCAACATAAAATTAAAAAATATTGGAGATACAAAAGGCAATTCGGAAGAGAAGACTACTTGGAATATTTGGGCTCCATCATTAAAGTTCAAGAGTTCACATTCATACAATGATATAATCTTTACAAGTTCTAAAGCATTACTCGTGATTTGTCAAAGGGTTATCCAAAATCATTCTCGTTCATTCGAGGTCATAACCATGCAATTTACAAGTGGTATCACTAGAACATTACAAGAGAAGATCTCAAAAGGACGTTTACATCCAAAATTACTAAATCAAAAAAACAAGAATTTACATTAAATATTCAAGTAGCCTAAAGCTAAAGAATTCTAAATCAAGGTTTCCCTCATTTCTAAAGTTATTTATCTTCAAGCCACTATCTTCCAAGATTGCCCCATTCCAACCTGGTTACGTCCAAGCCTCGGTCCATGTTTCATACCAAAAGAAAACCTGCATAAACAACCATTTTTCAAGCCGGTTCAGTACCAATACGTAATCAAGTTAATTTAATTTGAAGTACAAAAATCAACAATTACACCAAGTATTATGTGCTTAAAACTAACTATAACTAACTTTCTATTTCCCAAACTGTAACCAACTTTCCTTTTTCCCACCTCTTAACCATTTTATAACAACCTCTCTAAGTCCTAACCAATTAACAGAATAACCAACTTTTTTCCCAAATCCTAACTAACTTAACCAACCTCTAACCAACTTTCACCATGACCTTTGATCAATAACCAACCATAACAAACTTCCAGCATATATATAAATAGAGTTCACAGCATATGCATAAAAAGGATCATCACAAATAGAAAAAGGGGGGCAGAGGGATTTCAGTTTATATATTATTCTTTATTTTACGAACACAAAAAAAAGGGAAATTATTACCTCTCAAATCATCTCATTCTTCAATCTGAAGAATCACCACCAAAACTCTCTCTGAAATTCCCCAAATTGCATCTTCTCTCATCTCTCTGAACTAAACCTCTTTGCACAGAACAGAACCTTCACGCATCAAGATCAACGCTTCATTCTGCATCTTTTCATTATCTTCACACTCTTCATCAACGCAATTAACAACAACTTCTCCATCTCCATTTTCATCTCTCTGCACCTCACTTCTAACATACACAACAACAACTCAGACACGCAGAAGGAAGAAGAAGAAAACTTGGAAAACGCATACAAATGAAAGAGTGTAACAAAGAAAAATAGAAGCAGAAGATCAAAGTACAAACCTGAGAAATTGAAGCTTTCTTCTCCTAATCTCTACAACGAATTTTTGTCTTCATTCTTCCGTCAATTTCTCTCTGCTTCACGCTTTCGCGAGCACACTGCAAGAACACGATGCAACGTCATCGCCAGTAATCGCAAAAAGTGAAAACGCAATCCAGAATTAGAAGCACAGCATACAATAATACACACTGTAATTGAAAGTCACTTGTTATGGATCCAAACGAAGCTTCCAGTACCCCACCGCCGCCGTCACGCCACGGCATGAGGAAAAAGAATGAACGTTGGGTTTGGAGAAGAAAAGATAAAGGAGAAACACTGGATTCAGAGAAAGAAGAAAGATCGTCATCTAAACCAGCTGTGGCAGAACCTTCCTCATCTCAACCACCACCACGGTCATCACCATCACCATAACCTTCTGCTTCAACGCATAATCACCGTGTCAATGCAAAAACAAAATCAGGAAACGAGATAAAAGAAGAAAAGTATCGGAAGTGAGAGAAGTAACGAGAAGACGTACCTGTACGTCGAGGCCTTCACCGGGACGGCAACGGCATACCAAGGAAATTCGTAATAGCAACAATCGGCTCCTTCGCCAAATCGGTGGCATCTCTCATCAACCTTCATCATCATCAACAAACCTCACAGCATCACAATGGCTACAACACGGAGGAGAGTGAGATGGAAATGTGAGTTGGCGTCTAACGGAGGAGATCGAGGTTGGACGAAATCGTAGCAATAAGGCGAAGCTTTGAGATGGAGAGATCGAAGAAGGGAGATCACAAATAGAAGAGGGAGGACAGAATAGATATATGATTGACTAACAGAATAAAAATAGAATTACCTCCCAATCATTTCATTCTTCACCATTTAAAGAATCACCCTCAGAAAAAACCAAAAAAAAACTCTATGCATCTTCATCCTCAATCATTCTTCAATCTTCATAGAAGAATCACAGGAAACTCCAAGAAAACTCCATAAATATTCTCTCTCTGCACAAGAATTTTCATCTTCATCATCTTCAGTACAACTTCAATGCACACATTCAATCTGCAACGTTCTTTGCATAACGACAACGAATCTTCTGCTTCAATCTCTCTCTCATAATTTCATCATCTCCATCGCAACGTATCAACCTTCAACAATAGTTCAACTGCAGCACCTCGGTGCGTCACTTCTGCACTTTCGATCTGCATCGCAAAACCACACAACATCATACAACAACAACAACCATCTCAGAAACGCACAACAATTCGCGTTCAGAAGAAGGAACTTCAAAGAAAATATCTCAAGATCATACCTATGTTAGCGGCTCCGCTTTGTTCGTCCTCATCATCGAAGAAGAGAAGAGGCACAGATTCAAAGAGACGAGGCCGAAGACGGAGTTTTGTTCGAAGCAAAGGTGAGGTCAAACTAAGAGGTGAGAAAAGTCGTGGAGGTGAAGGCTGAGCGCCACCGCTAAAATTTGAGGGAGAGTTGTTGCTGCTGAACGCGAGGGCCATGGCCGCTGGAGATCGGAGTGGTGGAAGGTCGAGGAAGTGACGGACGGCGGCGAGGAAGAGACGGTGGTGAGCGGCTTCGGAAGCGGAGATGGAAAGAGAGAATCGCGGAGTCGAACAAGAGATATTTCGCGAAGATGATGAGCAATGATGAAACAGTATCGGAGTTACGAAGCACAACTTGCCGCGTGAGGCCGATCAGAGTGAGACGGTGGCGGTAGTTCGCTCCAGCGCCGCTGTTCCGTTCGTGAAGGAGGAAGAGATTCTTTTTTGCTCTAAACCTAACCCTTTTCCAATTTCCATACTTTTTTTTTTAATTTAATTGTCTTATTGTTTTATTATTCTTAATTCAAATTAATAACAATTATAATTAAGAAAATAACAAATAAAAATGTTGAAAATCTTTTGGGCAAATTACTTCAACACCCACATTTCTAGACTTCATACCCCCTAACTCTTCTAATTTTTTTTTCTTTTCTTTTATTGTTTTAGTTTTTTCTTTTAGTTTAAATTTTTTTAATCAATAATAAAACAATAAAAATAATAGAATATTTTTAGAATAGAATTTCTTTTTAGAATTTCGATTAGAATTTTTCTATTTTATTTTTCATATTCGATAATCATTTTATTGACTTTTTTAGTCAAGATTTTTGTGATAGCATTGATATAACTCTTGCAATATGGAATACTCGGGGTTAATTCTTCAATCACTCGCCCAAGGGAACTTTGATAGAGTTCTCTTACCGCTTACACAATTTTGAAGAGGCAACGGACCTCCTCCGTTCGGTATTGTCGCAAATCTATCTTATTCTTCATTTTCGTACTTTATCGTAATTCAAACATGACAACATTAAGTAGAATCCCTTCAAAATTCTAACTTTAGGTCTAACCACGCACAATAACATTAGGTATAGAAATAGGTTAATTCTCCTTTAACTTTTCTTTCTCCTTTCGCATACGCACCTAAAACTAAAAACTTCTTTTTCTTTCAAAAATTCAAAACACTTCAAAAATATTGATTTGAATCATGCTTTTGCTTAGTACGAGAAATGATAAGCGGGTCTCTTCTCGATCTTATTGTTCTTCATCTCAAGCATAGGTGTGGTTCAATTCTCAAAAAACTCCCTTCATGGCTAAGTAGAAAAATGGCTAATACCTCTCTCTTGAGGTCAATCAGTCATTATCTGCAACAAAAATACAAAACAAATTCAAACCATTTTGTGCGCTCGAGCACTTTTCTAAGAAACCCTTTTCAGGTAAGGACACGATTAATTTACTTCTGTGCCAACGCATAAGTCTCTAAAGGTCGAGCTGCGGCAGAAGGCGGGATTAACTTCGTCCATAAAAAACACAAACAAACAAACATATAAGCCGAACTACGGTAGCTCTGATTCCTCAAAACGGATACATAGGCATTGGGGTAGGGCCCAAGCGAGCACAATTTTATTTTCCCTACATTCTTTTCCCCTTTCTTTTGCATGCATTCCTTCAGTAGTATAGTAGACAGTAAGCATAGACGAAACACACTCATAAGATAGATAACAAGAGTGGATACCGTAGAGTACTACGGGCGTGTGGGGTGCTAATACCTTCCCCTCGCGTAACAGACTCCCTTACCCGATCTCTCGGTCGCAAGGCCGTGACTTCTCCCTCATCAGGTTTTCTCGATGTTTACCTTTCCCTACATGTGGGATAAAAGACGTTCGATGGCGACTTCATTGTTTGATGATTTTCAGCCGGTTGTTTCACCCAAGAAGGCCCTAGACAGGTTAGATTGTGAGGGTTTGGAGCTCAAGCCTAGTAACATTGTTGTCCGAGCCTTTGACGGTTCGAAAAGGATGGTACATGGGGAAGTTGACATTCCAATCAGGGTTGGTTCTCAAGTTTTTGATTCTACTTTCTATGTGATGGATATCCGACCATCCTATTCTTGTTTGCTGGGTCGTCCATGGATCCACAAGGCTGGAGTTGTGACCTCCACACTACATCAAAAGCTGAAGTACCCGGTTAGAGGGAAAATTGTTACGGTTCAGGAGGAAGAAGAGTATATGGTCAGCCACCTCAACTCGTTCCGGTACATAGAGATGAATGGGGAATTCATTGAAACCCCCTTTCAACACTTTGAAGAGGTGCCTCAGACACTGGCATCAGCTGAAACTGTGATTGAAGACCTTCCTTTGAAGATGGCTTCCTTAAAGGATGCCCGGGCTGTTATTGAGAAGGGCGAGTGTGCAAACTGGGGCCGACTTCCTGATTTCACTCCAAAGATTGACAAGTTTGGTCTGGGTTTCACTGCAGAAGCTCAGAGGGTTGTTCGTAAGGCAAGGATTGGAAGACCTCCTGTATTCATCACCAACCCGGGGGTAAATGCTATTGAAGACGACGTGGAGGAATCTGAATTCGACAGCTGGATCTACCCAACAACCGACGGTGGACCAAGCAACTGGACTGCGAAAGACTTCACACCTATTACTTTTGTCACTCAGTAATGAACTCTTTTGTTTTCAATTTGTAACAAACAATATGTTGAAACTTTTATGGCTCGGTGTCCTACCCGGGGCACCGTGGCTTCATTTGTGAGGGCTTTTGTGTGTCATTTTCATATATCATCAATAAAAACATTGGATGTTTGTTGCATTTCAAAATCTTGCGCTCCTTTTCTTTCTTTATTATATATTGCAAAACAACTATATTTACACACACTCACCTATACAGGTTCCAATCCACTCTGGATCTCACTGGTAACGACTCTGCTACTGCCAGTTATGACTTCGAAAATCCGACCAACTTAGCCGAAGACGAAGGTGAAGATGATTGTGAAGTGCCTGGTGAACTTGCAAGACTACTACTCCAGGAAGAGAGGGCCATTCAGCCACATGAAGAGCCAGTGGAAACGGTAAATCTGGGTACTGAGACAGACAGAAAGGAAGTCAAGATTGGTGCCAATCTAGAGCTCAGTGTGAAACAACGGTTGATTCAGATGCTACATGATTATGTGGAAATCTTTGCCTGGTCTTACGAAGACATGCCTGGGTTGGATACTGACATTGTGGTTCATCACCTGCCTACCAAGGAAGACTGCCCTCCGGTTAAACAGAAGGTCCGCCGTATGCGTCCAGAAATGTCCGAGAAAATAAAAGCTGAGGTTATGAAACAATTTGATGCCAGGTTTCTAGCAGTGACTTCTTACCCTCAGTGGATTGCCAATGTGGTTCCAGTGCCGAAAAAGGATGGTGAGGTCCGAATGTGTGTTGATTACAGAGATTTGAATAGGGCAAGCCCTAAGGATGATTTCCCTCTGCCTCATATCGATGTTCTGGTTGACAATACTGCTCAACATAAAGTTTTCTCCTTCATGGACGGTTTCTCCGGTTATAATCAAATCAAGATGGCTCCTGAAGACATGGAGAAGACCACTTTTGTTACTCAGTGGGGCACCTTTTACTACAAGGTCATGCCTTTTGGGTTGAAGAATGCTGGGGCAACCTACCAACGTGCCATGGTTGCTTTATTTCATGATATGATCCACCATGAGATTGAAGTGTATGTCGATGATATGATTGCAAGGTCTCAAACTGAGGAGGAACACCTTGACCATCTACGGAAACTGTTTGACCGTCTGAAGTTGTACAAGCTGAGGTTAAACCCAAACAAGTGCACCTTTGGGGTGAGATCCGGAAAATTATTAGGCTTCATCGTAAGCGACAAAGGAATTCAAGTGGACCCTGCCAAGGTGAAAGCCATACAAGAGATGCCAACTCCCAAGACAAAGAAAGAAGTCAGAGGCTTTCTAGGACGGTTGAATTACATTGCCCGATTCATCTCACATCTAACTGCTACCTGTGAACCAATCTTCAAGCTACTGAAGAAAGATCAAGTAGTACGTTGGAACGATGAATGTCAGGCCGCTTTCGAAAAGATCAAAGAGTATCTCCAAGAACCACCCATTCTTATGCCGCCGGTTGAAGGGAGACCTCTAATCTTGTACTTGACAGTACTTGACAACTCAATGGGGTGTGTGCTGGGGCAGCATGACGAGTCTGGTCGAAAAGAACACGCCATTTATTACCTTAGAAATAATTTTACCGACTGTCAGACCCGATACTCACTGCTTGAGAAAACTTGTTGCGCTTTGGTATGGGCTGCTCGCCGGCTGAGACAGTATATGTTGACTCACACCACTCTTTTGATTTCAAAAATGGATCCAATCAAGTACATATTCGAAAAGCCTGCTCTGTCTGGAAGAATAGCAAGATGGCAAGTGATCTTGACGGAATATGACATCCAGTACACGACTCAAAAAGCAATCAAGGGAAGTGTATTGGCAGACCATTTGGCGCACCAGGCAATGGACGATTACTAGTCGATGAACTTTGAATTTCTAGACGAGGATATCATGGTAGTGACTGATTGTGAAGTACCTGGACCGGATGAAGGATCTGAGGAAGGATCCCGATGGTCTATGCACTTTGACGGAGCCTCAAACGCTTTGGGTAATGGTATCGGCGCTGTGATCATATCCCCCAAAGGCACTCATACTCCACTCACCGCCCGACTATGCTTCAACTGCACCAACAACATGGCAGAGTATGAGGCATGTATCATGGGTCTTCAAGCTGCAATTGACTTAAGGATCAAGTTTCTGAGTGTCTTCGTAGATTCCGCTCTTGTGATCAATCAGGTCAAAGGCGAGTGGGATACGAAACACCCAAATCTTATTCCTTACAAGGAGTATGTACTGACGTTGCTTCCCCACTTCGAGGAGATAAATTTTGAACACTTCCCAAGAGAGGAGAATCAGTTGGCGGACGCGTTGGCTACAATGTCTTCCATGTTCAAAGTCAAATGGGACAACGAGGCTCCCCGGATCATCATCTGGAAACTGGATGAACCTACATATTGTTGTGATCTCGAGACCGAAGAGGTAACAGAAAAACCTTGGTATCATGAAGTGAAGAGGTACTTGGAAGCTCAAGAATACCCCGAAGGTGCATCTGTTAATG